ATACATCTCGCCTGAGTGTCAGCCATTTTGTTTGATCACAAATTTAATGTCGTCTTTTTACAGGAAAACAATAGTTTTTTATCCGTACACAACAATGCCTTTTTTACAAGCACTGCAATTATCTTCAGTATTCAATTGTTTTCCGAGAGTGTTGTTAAAGTCAGTGCAAGGTGAATGTATCGTAAAGACAGACGGGGTCAGTACAAGATGTATATACCGCACAGACTGACAAACGATATCCATAGTCAGTACAATGTGTATGTACCGTACAGACAGACGGTAGACCTCAGTAGCCAGTACAATGTGTATGTACCGTACAGACAGACGACTGACCTGAGCAGCCAGTACAATGTGTATGACAGACGAAATAACTCTGAAGTATGTACAATATTGATGTTCCGGACAGACAGACGTTCAACCTCCATAGTCAGTACAAGGTATATGTACCGTACAGACAGACCAACGATATATTAGTCAGTACAAGGCCCAAGTACCGTAAAGACAGACGGCCGACCTTCGTAGTCAGTATAAGAATTATTTACCACACATATCTCCTTAGCCAGTACATTTTACCTAGACTTCTTCCTATAATGCCATACCAAGTAGGCTGCCCTGGACTGTGATACACAGGACAACGCCCTACACTGTGATACCAAGTGCGTCGCTCTGTACTCTGATACCATGTGCGACGTCCTGTACTCGTTACCAAGCTCTGTACTGTTAACCTAGTACATAATCACATAGTGTGATACTACATACGTCGCGCTGTGCTGCAATATCCAGTCTGTGTACGAGTTCTGTAATATCCAGTGCCTCGCTCTGTACTGTATTACCGAAGTTTTGCCCTATACTATATTACTCAGTACGGCATTCTAAATTGTGATACCGAGAACGTTGTCATGAACTGTGATACACAAATAGGTGTCCCTGTACCTTGATACAAAGTCGGTCGCCCTGCACTGTGATTCCAAGTGCGTCGCCCTGTACTGTGGTACCCAGTACGTCACGCTGTACTGTGATTTCCCAGTACATCGCCATGTACTGTGATACCCATTACGTCGACCTGTACTGTGATACCAAGTACCTCGCCTTGTACTGTGATATCCAGTGCGTCGCCCTGTAATTTGACACGTAGTGCGTCGCCCTATACCGTGATACTAAGTATGTCGCCCTATACTGTTTTATTCAGTACGTTGCCCTGTGCTGTGATATCCAGTGCGTCGCCCTGTAATTTGATACGTAGTGCATCGCCCTATACCGTGATACTTAGTACGTCGCCCTATACTGTTATACTCAGTACGTCTCCTTGTACTGTGGTACCCAGTGCGTCGCCCTGTACTGTGATTACCAGTATGTTGCCCTGTACTTCGATACCCTGTATTGCAATTCCCAGTACGTCGCCCTCTACCGTGATATATGTTATATCTACATATACGTGATACTCAGGACGTCACCCTGTACTAATATACCCAGTACATCGCCATGTACTTTGATACCTAGTACGTCGCCCTGTACTGTTATACCCAGTACGTCGGCCTGTACTATGATTTCCTGTACTTCGCCTTGTACTACGATACCATACGACTATGTTCACTATCAAGTGATATACATTAATTATGTAATTCAACTTGACTATAAACTACACACGACGTCATAGAACCCTTACTAGCCTTTTCACTGTTTACTCACTTTGACTGCCAAAGTAAGAGATAGCTTTTCCTCCTTGTTTGTTTTTTAGTTGTCAATTCACTACCGATTAATTCGGTTACCCAACAAACAAATAAAAGATATAAACAAATGAGTAGGGGGATTAAGTATGTAACAAATGGACCAAGTGGGATGATAAAGGAGAGAAGGAGCCGTTTATCCTTCATGTATTAATTTAAGATGTAGTTTTATGAAAGACGACTCCTGGGCTAATGTTGCCTTATCCTGACTTTGACCCGACTTGACCGGAAGAGGGATACAAAGTCGCCATCAATCACACCAGCTCCTGGCTAACCTGTTGCATCTGTAAAGTCGGTACTTATCACAGTACAGGGCGACGCACTGGGAATTACAGTACAATGCAACGTGCTGGATAACACAGTTAATGTTGACGTATAGGGTATCACAGTACACTGCGACATACTGGGCATCACAGTACAGGGTGACTTCCTGTGTATCAGAATACGGTATCAAAGTACAGGGCGATGTACTTGGTATCACAGTAGAGGTCGACGCAATTGGTTTCACAATACAGGGTCACGTGCTGGGTAACACAGTTAATGGTGACATACTTGGTATTACAGTACAGGGCGACGTACTGGGTATCGAAATACAGGGTTACGTCCTGGGTATCGCAGTACATGGCGACGTACTGGGTATCAAGGGACAGGGTGACCTCCTGGGTATCACATTATGTGCGACGTACTAGGTATCACGTTACAAGGCGACGCACTTGGAATCACAGTACAGGGCGAAACACCGGATATCAAAGGACAGGGCAACGTACTTGGTATTACAGTACATAGCGACATCCTGGGTATCACATAACTTAGGACGTACTAGTATCACGTTACAGGGCGACGTGCTGGGTAACATAATCCATGCTGACGTACTGGGTATTACAGTACATAGTGACATACTGGGTATCACAGTACAGGGCAACGTACTAGTATCACGTTACATGGCGACGTGCTGAGTAACACAGTACATGCCGACGTACTGGGTATCACAGTACCGGGCGACATACAGGTTATCACAGTATATGGCGACGCACTGGGAATCACAGTACATGGGGACGTTATGGGTATCAACTCACAGAGGGACGTACTGTGTATCAAAGTACAGGGCGACGTACCGGATATCAAAGTTTAGGTCGATGTACTGGGCATCGCAGTACAAGCCGACATACTGAGTATCACAGTACAGGGCGCCGCACTTGGTATCACAGTACAGGGTGACGTACTGGGTATCCTGTACAGGGAGACGGACAGGGAATCCCAATACATTGTGACGTTCTAGGTATCAAGTTACAGGGCAATGTTCTTGGTATCACAATACAGGGCGACATATTGGGTATCACAGTACATGGCGACATACTGGGTTTTACATGACAGGGTGACGTACATGGCGATGTAATTGGTATTACTGTACACTTGGAACCAGAAAACAGGGTGACGTATCGGATATCAAAGAACAGGGCGAAATATTAGGTATCACAGTACAGGGTGACTTCCAGTTTATCAGAGTACACGCACGTCATATATCAGTACACATAACCGTCATCAATCTGTTCACACAAACGGCATCAATCAGTGCACATACACATCATCAATCAGTGCACATAAACGTCATAATATAGTACATATACGGCATCGACCAGTCCATGCCAATATCATCAATCCGTGCACACAAACGTGATCATAAAGTACATACAACGTCACCAATCAGTGCACACAAACGTCATCATACCGTATAATGTGTGTTTCAATAAATGTCAATGCTACGATTAAATCTAAATGTTGAACTGGTCCAGTCTCTGAAGTTCTTATCAAGCAATATCGTCTTTAACGTACGAACATACTAAGCTCATTAAATATTAATCAATTACACTCTTAATTAGGAAGCTTAACAACCATTTAAGTAATACATGTTGTCATAGCGATAGATATTCGTGTCTATCGATTTTCATGCATACTATCTAGACATAAAATACAACGTGACCTTTAACAGTAAGATGTTAATAGTGTTAATAGCATTATCCCCAAAGTACATTTTTATGGTATACTATCATGTTACCCCTGTTTACGAATCAATTGGATTTCATTTTTACTCGATATATTTTGTCTGAATATTTACAAGGTTATATTATTATTATTATCATTTATCTACTTTTTATTGATTTTGTTGTTATTCTTTTTTTTATATTGAGATTATCTTTTTTTTTTGTGTTTGTTTATCTTTTTACTTTTATAACATAATATATAACTGTATAAATAGCATGTATGTGTGTATATACATGTAACGTATATATATGTGGATTACAAATTAAAATTTAACCTTACATTGCTTTGTTATTATTATTTTTATGTTATGTTATCTTTTTTTGTTTTATTTTGATATTTTGTCCGTTCGGTATGTGAAACCCAGTACCTCGACCTGTTCCGTGATACCCAGTGCGTCGGCATGTACTATGAATTCCTGTAATTGGCCTTGCATTACGATACCATGCGACTATAGACACTATCAATTGATATACCTTATGTAATTCAATTTGACTACACACGACGTAATATAACCCCTACTAGCCTTCTCCACGTTTCCTCCGTTTAGTAGTGTTCCTCTCACTATGACTGCGTTTCCTCCTTGGTTTGTTTTGAGTGGCCAATTCACTACCGATTAGTTTGGTTATCCAACAAACAAAGAAAAGACACGAAAATGAGTAAGGGGGATTAAGTAAGTAATAAATGGACGAAGTGTGATGATAGATGAAAGAAGGAGCCGTCTATTCCTCATGTACTATTTTAAGATTATAGTTTTATGAAAAACGACTACTTGACTAATGTTGCCTTATCCTATATTTGACCAAACTTCACAGGAAAAGGGATAGTCGCCACCAATCACACCAGCTCCAGGCTAACCTATTGCATCTCTAATGTCGGTACTTATTTAAGTCCTTCTAAGAGAGCATCATTCTACCTGCAGAAACAACCCTAACTCTAACCTCTTGGTCGGCGTTATCACGCCTAATTTTCTTAGGAAATAATCATATTGCTCTTAGCTTTTCCTGTGATGGAACCTGTATGTATACCCATATCCATCTAACCAAATCACATTATCCTTTCCTTATAAAATGTCTTCTGTTATACTACGATTGACCTATCCAAACTTCCAAATGAAAAGAAAATAGCTAAAGCAAGTCTATACTGTACTATAGAACTATATATTTCTTATTCAACGTTAATTACACAAAAAACAACACAGCACCTATGTAGCCTCTTTTTATTTCATATACAAAAACCCATCGTGAGTTATAATACACGTAATGTTGTAAAAAACAGCGTTAAGTAATATGACGCGTGCACTATCCGGAATTTTGACTCCGCCTTTTCCATTCGATATGTACACTACTTACTTCCTTGTCTCGAGAGAAGGATTCAAGGAGTAAACAATGTCTGGTTGTTATTAGAATGGAAGTTTGTGTCTTCCGTGTAAATAAGTGTCCCCTTGGTGAGTATATAAGACAGAGGTGATAATGTACCCTAACATGTGATATTTATTTTACAAACAGTCAATGATAATCTGTGTATATTATAGTTGTACCTATACTGCAATGTAGACACACCTTTGCTGTTGTTAGAAAAATACAAACCGAAACTTCTTATTTCATTTGTAGCATATATTGGTTGTATTGATAGCAAATAGCTAGTAATCATCGTTACATGTAAGAACGTACGCATGTAAGAACGTACGCATAGTATTATACGAGTATCAAACGAAAGTTCTCATGTGCATCCATGTATACAATATGTTAGCGACTTGGATATACATAAGAGTTACCTCCCCTGCTGCATCAAAGGACTTCAATACTAGCATTGAGGTGATAAAAATACCGACTTATGTATTAGAAAGCAAATGTATACCTCTGATTAAATGATCTTATGACTTATACATATACACAGACATACACACACATTTAAGTTCAAGTAAACACTGTGTTATTATCGATGGTCGATATGAAATGTAAACAATACCGCTAAATGAATTATACGCTACAAAAAAAAAAAATGCGTTGTATATCGGCCATACGGGAAATATTACTTTGTGATAAGGAACTACAAACTTCAACATTACAACTATTTATCAAAAAACAACTGGAACCTTTCAAAAACTTAAAACAAATGGTATCACTTGTATTATAGAATTGCTAGCCATTGCACACCATATAACATAATGTTGTCTATAGACAGTTTATTTTAAATCAGAATTGTTTATAAGATAAAAATAGGAAACATGACTAAACCTCAATTAAACTACTTGGACAACATTTAATGATGATTAAATAATAGTCCATGTATTACTTTTCGGCTTCTATATATGTCTTTCTCATTGGTATTAAATTATAACTATTGTCATTTTCTATTTCAGGTCTGTGTTGACCATTTCTTACTTTTACTATGGCTGAAGGTGGTCTCCCTCCAGAACTGGACTTACACTTACTGGAATGTCCAATCTGCCTGGAGCGACTTCAACAACCCAAGTCCTTACCCTGCCTCCACTCCTTCTGTCAGGATTGTCTCGGGACCTATATCACAAAGGGGGTGTCCGGGAAGATGGCGTCGGCAACATCATTTCCTTGTCCAGTTTGTAGGAGGATGATCCCTCCGGGAAATCAGGCTGAAACCAAGGATAAATGGGCAGAACAATTTCCGACTAATACTGTGATAGATTACCTTATCCAGTTAAAGGAAAGTTCGTCTGTACCATTATACTGCAAAACCTGCCATATAAAAGGTAACCTGAACAACCCAGCCAGTTTTTGGTGCAAGGCAATGAACGAGAACTTATGCGACATTTGTAAGGTTTCATGATTTCATACATAATGACTGTGATATACTGAATGTCACCGGAAACCAAAGTAAACGACCAAACATGGAAACGTCTGCCCCTCGATGTTATCAACACGGCGATAAAATGGTTCGGTATTGTGAGGACCACCAACTTCTGTGCTGCAACGAATGTGTGATCGAAGACCATAAGAAATGTGGAAAGGTGCTAAAGGTGGCGGAATATTGTCGGAAGGTAAAAGCAGGATCGCAGCTAAAAGACATGCAGGCGACGTTGAAGAAAGGAACAGAGAGTTTGAACTCATTAGTGAAGGACTTTAATAAACAGCTTCAAATCATGATACAGAGTCAGGAAATCGGATTACAGACCATCTCCGACCTGTGTCAAAAGGTCGATAAACGACTGGACCAACTTCAGAAAGACATCACCGACGAGTTGATCACATTGTTCAAAAATGAGAAAAGAGACATGGAGGCATCATCACGGGCGTGCGAACGTCTGATAAACGGAATGAAAAATACCAGGAAGTGGTCCATTAAAGCCATAGAGGAAAACGACAACATTGAGACGATAGTGTTGTAACAGAGAGGACAGGCAGAAGTGGAGTCGTGCGAGAAACTTGTCACAGAGATGAGCAAGTCATTCACATCCGTCAGCATCGAACATCAAATTGTTCCCGGTCATGACACCATTTAAGATAACGCTATGGGAAAGATCGTCGTTGGGAAAATACCACAATGTATCCCCGGGGGTCATGGCAATTTAGTAAACTCCATGTTAGAACGACGTGTGAAAGACATCGGAAAGTTTAGCATCAAGTCCCCGTCAGATGAATATGATTGCTGTCCTTATGGTGTTGCATACCTGTCATGTGCACAATTAGTAGTAGATGATAGCAATAATAACAAACTGAAGTTGTTTACAGACAAAGGACAGTACCTGGACGAGTTGGCCGTTCCCTGGCAGCTGTGATCAACATGCCATATGATATAGGCTGCATTGGTATTACACATACAGACGGGAAGTTTGCCGTGGGTACACGCACAGGAGAAGTATACAGTGTGACACAGAACGGAGAAGCTGAGTTGATATACAAATATAACAATACATGTTGGTCCCTCACTCATGAACAAATAAAGGGTGACACACTTGTCAGTATCCGTGACACCAACCCGGGGAACGTCGCGGTGTCTAGGCTGTCGGCTGACAAACGTCATACGGATGTGATGAAGGTCGGTGTCGAGAGGGAAGCTAAAGGAATAGACGTGGACAGGGAGTGCAACATCTACGTGTGTGGTAATGATTCACACAACATCGTACATATGTCTGGGGACGGAACACACGTCAGGGAAATTCTGACATCATCAGATGGGATCAACTCTCCATGGGCAATAGCTGTCTGTGGTGACACATTTGTAGTAACTAATACTAGTAGTAAAGACGAGAGTAAATATATCCGTGTCTTTCAGTTGTACTAAAAATGAAGTAAAAATGAAAATAAATATGTGCTGAACAATTGAAAGGTATGCTTATATCTTAACGATAGAATGCACACTAGATGATAGAATTATGGCCTCGTTTCAACACCAAAAATATCAGTTTCTCAAATGATCACCAATGTTTTGATTTAATTGTCTAAAACCTTTAGCTTAACAACACAACAAATAAAATTACAAAACGTTAAAACTGCATTGTTTTTGTTGCATCCATATAAGAATTATGAAATTGGAGGATTTTCTTTAAAATGCATTGATGGTAATTACGTATTGTTAAGAAAAAACAACATGTTATTCTAGCTGCGTAATTTATAAATAAAAAAAAAAAAAAACATTAAATGAAAAAGATTTAATACTCTCAGTTCATAATGATAACTAAATGAAAACCAGGTCGGTATTGAAATGTTACTGCATTTATTAGCCAGGTAAATATAAGACATGTAACTATATGAATGAAGAGCGAACTGTCCTTAACTCTGACCATTTTGGTGTAAATATAACAATATATACCAATGAATGTGTTATGTTAGCTAATCTTTTTAATTAAGCGATTGTGCATAGTGTGCTATATACGTGTATGCTATTTGTATCGTAAAGGACAAACATGACAATGAGCGAACATTGATTATACCTGTTAAGGAGTAATATCTCACTAAAAAAGGGTATCAACAGGTGTTTGCGTTATTTAACAGGCTTTATATATAAGACTATTTCATGCCCAGGGGTGTAGAAAAGAGAAATTTAGTAAAACACGAGGCTTTGCCGATCAGTCACTCCTGGGTATGAAAGAGTATTTTTCTCTCATTCCAACTACCAGAATACGTTAAGAAACCATGAAAATGCGTTTGAACTGGCTACCAATTTGATTTTGTTTCCCCTGAGCTTTTTAGATAAAAACGAATCATACAAGTATATGTATAATATGCTCCTCATCTTTGCACGCCTCGCATGCCTCGCACGCCGCGCATCACGCCTCGCATCACGCCTCGCATCCCGCCTTGCACACCTCGCATGTCTCGTATCACGCCTCCCACACCTCGCATGTCTCGTATCACGCCTCGCACACCTCGCATGTCTCGTATCACGCCTCGCACACCTCGCATGCCTTGCATCACGCCTCGCACGCCTCACACGCCTCGCATCACGCCACGCACACCTCGCATGCCTCGCACCACGCCTCGCACACCTCGCATGTCTCGCATCACGCCTCGCACACCTCGCATGTCTCGCAGCACGCCTCGCATGCCTTGCATTACGCCTCGCACGCCTCACACGTCTCGCATCACGCCTCGCACCTCTCACACCTCTCACACCTCGCAGCCCACCACGCATACCTCGCATGCTTCGCATCACGCCTTGCACCACGCCTCGCGTGCTTCGCATCACGCCTTGCACCACGCCTCGCGTGCCTCGCACGCCTTGCACCATTCCTCGCATGCCTCGAATACGCCTAGCATACCTCGAACAACGCCTCGCACGCCTCGCACACCTCGCATAGGGAATCCTATATAAACCAGCAATGAACATTGGATTCCAGTCGATATCGTTCATGGCACAGGCACACATCGACCTCGTCAAAGGAGAAGACATTACCATCGACGAAGTCACATCTAAGAAGATTGTCTGTCGCTTAGGACGAGATCAATAATTCATCGTGAAGAAGGTGAAAGGTGATATCAAGATTTATATCAAAGACCAAAAAAATACTGTATGTTTGAAGGGAACATTGTTTAAAAAGCTATTGTTCTTGTCCGATAGCCTTTAGTGTGTATGTTCCTTTCTAGAAAGTGAAAATGTCCTATGAGGTGGATAACATCCGGCATAGCGTAACGGTGATACAGCCACGTCATCAATTACTGGTGAAGTGTTGCAATAGCGTGGATACGTGTATACATTGGCCTAAACATCATCATCATTTTCCATATCAACTTGCAAGTAACGGATTTTTCTATACGGGTATTGAGGACTGTGTCACGTGTTTCATGTGCAACGTTTCGCTAAAACATTGGAAGTTTTTCGATGATATCAAAACAGAGCAAGAGAGGTGGTCAAAGGACTGTCTTTTTCAGCATATGATGTTTGTCTTATAAACATGAAAGGAGTAGATTCGTTATTTCGGTGATACAAGTTGTAGTTAATCGGTATGCAGACATTACAGGATTTTTATTACATGATACAATATACCTGACCGGCATATGAGCTACCATCTTCGCTGCCAATGAAACATTCAACTTTTACATTTCGTCTGATTTCTGCAGTTAATACACACCTGATTGCTGTCCATTTTCTGGTACTGATAGAGAGGATCGAGGAATTTACTCATTGGGGTACGTCCAGTCACAAGCATGAACATCTACAATTACTGAAAACCATGTAAACATGCAAATTGAAAACAGAGTGTAATGGGAAGTGTTTTTTAAATACACATTTTAAGCTAAGTTAACTATGTTTGGTAGTAAAAACACCCTTGAACTTTGAAAAGGCACATTTTGGCCTTATATATATAATAGTTGCATGCACATAAATGTGCATACATGCAATTAATTTGCAGATGGTTTGAGGAGCTGTTTAAATGCACCATATAGTATATACCGGTATTACACATTTTACAGATCTCCTTTTTGATCAATTTTTAATGAACTTGTAAGGCTTTATTTATGGCATGTACTTGTGCATTCAAACTTGAAAATTTGATTTATGTTTTTCATAGACTTTTTGTTATTTTTACTATATCAACGGGTGTATTATGCATCCATGTATGTTGTTCGAATATTTCTTTCCTAAGTTTTTGACTGATCTTCCTGAAACTTATTCATCTTAATCAATTCCCCACCGGTACTACCGGAAGGCTATACGTTTGCACCCGCTGCCTGTGAAAAGTTTGTCCTGAGCAAACTTTCTTGCTAATTCACCGGTACATTCACCAAATTTTCTATACATTTTGTTTATACCTCTTATACGTGCAGGGTTTGTTAACTCTGTTTCACAACTTAATGTATATTCTGTGGGCATCACTAGGCAAGACTCCACTTGAAAAAGATAACAATAAACCTAAATGTCTGAAAAATTGTGATAATTAGGCATAGCTATATTTTATTGGTATATAAAATAGAACACAGAGGTAAGAATATTTGCCGAAATTCATTATCTAAAAACTGTTCCAGACAGACTGGGCGTGGTCGTATGCCTCTTGTGTGATGCTTTCTCCAGACAAACTTCTATTGAACAATTGTTGTGGTGGAAGGTATTTTTCATGAGACCTATGAGGTCCGTCAAAATAATCGCATGGGTATACTTGTTTCTGCAACAACAAATCGAAATGGTCTTTGCCGAAATGTAAGCCATATGCTTAGACTTTACACTTTCTTCTTTAACCAGATTAATCATCAGTTTATCAAGAGAGGTTTGGAGCAAGATATCGACAATATCCATACACCCAAATGAGAAGGAGATATTTTTCTCCATAATGTTTGGTACGCAAATGTTCCCTTTGTTTTGGACTTTTGCTCTATGGACTGTATGATAAGGTGCGAATCGTCAAATTGTGAAATACTACAGGAATGCACGTGCTGCGTCATTTATTCGTGTATTTTACATTCGGGTGTTTACAACATCCGGATATTGGTACTTGAAACGATTCGAAATCGGCATAGATGATATTTGGCGCATGTATTTGTTTCCTGAAGTCGTTGTAGAATAACCATATGTCATTCTATTTAGGAAGTTCGACTCTCTATGTACCGATCCACGTTTTTCATCCAACAGTAAAGCGACTTTTTCGGTTGGCTATTATAAGCAAGTCGACGTGCCTATGAAACCGCTGTTTAGTGACGTGCATGGGAAACAATGTTCATACCCCATGACTTAGACGGATATGTTTTTTTTCTGTCTAAAACTTGGGTATGTCGGCCATGAACACAGGAAATGAGATTCCTGTGAAATTGAGCTCGATCTCTTTATTTTTTTTATTTACTGACGCGCTCGGGATGATATTTGTCCGGATGTATACAGTCAACACCGACCACATGACACATTTCTTGTCGTTAGTTTAGACACTGACGATGGCTTGTTTAGTTATCAACTCAATCGGAAGAGATGTAACTAGAGGCCTGCATGGGTTGGTAACGGGCTATATGTATTTGAATTTTGAGAACCTTGTCGAGATTCCAGTTACTTCCGTGTCTCTGATATTATAGGAAAGAGGGATATATCTTTTTGATGGACTCGTTCATGCCGTTGTCCAGGTTTTCGGGATTGAGACTAATCTGGCATTTTCCCTATAGTGCAGTATGACGCGCTCCACGATCTCCCTTTTGGGTTTCGAAAACTGAACCTGAATAGAGTGATAACATTTGACAACCCCCTGGAGGAGAGATTGTCTAATTAATTTTTGATGTCGTCATATTTATGTTTCAAAAGGGACATGGTATCAACTTTTACAACTCCCTGCATTGACATGGTCATGACTTTGAAAGAACCACATTCTCCAGATTTAAAATCATCTGTCAAAGTTGACCCAGTTGTAGTTTTCTCCGTTTTAGTCGTCTACGGACGCAACAATTGGTATTGTATTTGCTTTTTGCTTGGTCGCATTTGAAAAAAAAAATGGTTGTTCATCCATAGTTTGTGTTATTTTCTTCATTTAGTTTTCGTACACTTTCTTCAGTTGTTACTTTTGTTTGACCGCCATTAGGAACATCTAATGCTCTACTCGTGGCTGGCTTTATCACCAACCGTCTAACTCACGTTATGGGTCTTAACGTGCGCTGCTGATATGTGTAGGCCCGCCAAAACAATTTCCTACAGTAGGTGTGTGTTGGTTTACCTTGGGATTTGCTGTATCTGGTTAGTTTATCCTTTCTTGTGAACTCTTTGTAGCATACGTTGTATTTCCATTGTCTTACTCCATGTTTAGCGACGTGTCTCTACAGAGTGTTCCGGTGGTCTAATACTTTATCACGGGTTGGACAAGCCCATTTCCCCTTTATGAACAGTTGTAGTTCCATAGACTTCCTCTGTGTATTCTTCATCCTGTCAACAAAATGCTTGAATTGTTATTATATATGTACCATTGATAGACAAATATATTGAAAACATTATCAACAAAACAGGCACATGACTGAAGTGCTTGAAACTGCTGAATGATGTTGTCAGGTCCCGGAAACCAGATACCTTGCATCAATTCTGTTATCCAGTTTAACAATGATATAGTTTTTTCAATGAGATGTGTTGGTAAGACACGGATGTCACGCTCCCTGTTTTACCTTATATATGCATACACATCTATGGACTCGCGTACAAACACACACAGTGTAATGGGTGCTACGAGCTATGTGACACATGCTGTGAATTGGCGTGTGTGTTATTTTTAGTATGTCAAAATTCACCCCATTTAAGTTAATCACATGAGTACTTATCAACTTGAAGTACATTTTTAAGAACATTAAACAACAAGTGTATCAAAAGTGTAAGCAAACTTAAAATCGGGTATCACAATATTCTCCTCACAAGTGCATAGTTACTGATTCGATTACATGCAAACCCCGACAGAATGCATGGCTACTGAAAAGTCATGCATACACTGTGTCTTACCGGTTGAGTAAGCACGGTATGTATTGACTCATAGTGTACGTCTGTATACAGTTGAAATACACGTATACGATTTTGTTAGGATATACGATGATATAAGCCATAAGGCATGGCCATATTATGATCAGTATAGTTATATTATAATATATGTCTTCACTGATTGGTGAATGGATGTCAAATATGGATCATACGATAAGAATAAACAGATATCGGTAACAGAGACATATATAGCGTATTAACACAAAAGGACAAGTCCGGACAGGTCGCATACAATTAAGTTTATTGTCTTTTCTCCCCCCCCCCCCCCCCCCCCCCCCTCCCCCCCTATTTTTTTGAAAAGAAAGTTACAGAACAACACTAGCGTTTAACTATATTACTGCTCAAGCTGAAGGGTCCGGTAGATCTTTACTTGTATGTGCATAGAGTACCTTAGTATCGCTTCAGTAAACACATGTACACATGCGTATATATACTGTCATGACCTATATTAGATTATATACATGTTCTAAGGTAAATTCAGTGGGTTTAAAACTGCATGTGTCATGGATTCATTCCGCAGACATTTTACTTGGATAAGGTAACTTTTATTTTATATAATATATGTGTTGTATCATTAATGTTATGCCTGTCAATGGTATATTGAGTACATGTGTTTTAGTTAGGTTTTCAATATGGCTGACGATCATGTCCAACACACGTCTGAACATGTCTCGACATGTCGGGCCGTTGTTATCAAGTTGGAACTGGTTTATGAATGTTAAATGCATATAATTATCGTGCTCTAGGCTTTTTTTTTTCATTTTGCTCAAGATTATAGAATGTTCCAGAGCAACACATCCGGTTGAAACCTGTTTTAGTATTGCTAGGCATGCTTTAAAAATAGATCAATTACGGATAATACATGTACCCCACGTTAGGTGAGAGACGGTTGCTGGTGGGAGAGGACTTTGTGTCTTCCGTGTAAATAATTGTTTCCTTGGTGAGTGTAATGGACAAATGTGATATTATACCTTAGCATGTGATGTTTATTTTACAAACAATACATGATAATCTGTTTATTATACAGTTTTACCTGTACTGCAATGCAGACACACCTTTAATATGTTAGAAACATTTGTAACATGAACTGTTTATATTGATAGCAAAAAGCTAGTAAATATGGTAACATTTTAGTACGTATGTATATACGAGTATCAAACGAAAACTCTCATGTACATCCATGTATACATAGGTTGTTGGCGACTAGGAAATAGAAGAGTTATCCCCCCCCCGCCCCCACACACACACACACTCCCCCTCTGTTACGTCAAAATGACTTAAACAGTTAACTAACATAGTATCGGTTCTCAAAAAGTTAATGATTGGTTGTACAGGGTTCAATATCCTATCAACACCTAGGGTCATTTCACACCCAAAGTTCTCAGAATGTTTGTTTAAATTTAAAGTGATTAGACACAAAATTATGTGTAAGATAACAAATGTATGGCTTTGCTTAAATGATTTTATCACTATTTAATGAAAATGAAACGGTACGCTTTTACTCAGACCTAAATACTGAAACACGATGTTATTTAAGGAATGACCAAGGTTATTTTTTGGTATATACGGTATATACCGAACACAAATTGTGCACTTTGCATAAATCCGCGAACCGGATTTAATTTAAAAAAGTAAACAAACACGTTGTAAATGCACAGTTAAAGATTTATTTATTTTTTACGTCAACTATACAATTGCGTTGTAATTTTGCATTCTGAAGTGTAAAAAGTAGTTCCGTCATCAGTTGTTTTTCTTTTTAGGTATATACGATATATACCAAAATTAATATTATGGTGGAGATAGGCAAAATTAAATTAGTATAGGTGATCGATATGAAATATAAACAATACCGATAAATGAATTATACACTACAAAAAATGGAAAATGTGCTGTATATTGGTCATACGGGAAACACTACTATTTGATAAGGCTTCATAGAGGTAAAACTGAAATTATTTGTCAAAACCTTAAAGTGGTACCATTTTTGTATAGAAACACTAGACATTAGGCAACATATATATGACTAAACCTCAATAAACCTATGAGGACAATATTTCAGTATGATTAAATTGCATCGGAATTGATTAACTAATCATGTATATACTATTCCATGTGTTATGAATTGGCCTCTGTTTCTCTAAAGCTGCCTATCTTATTGGTATTGAATTATAATCACAGTCATTTTCTATTCTAGGTTTGTGCTGACGCTTTCTGATCCTCACAATGGCTGAAGGCGGTCTCCCTGCGGAACTTGACTTACAGCTACTGGAATGTCCAATCTGCCTTGAGCGACTTCAACAACCCAAGTCCTTACCCTGTCTCCACTCCTTCTGTCAGGATTGCCTAGGAACTTGTATCACCAAGGAAATGTCCGGGCAGATGGCGTCGGCAACATCATTTTCTTGTCCAGTTTGTAGAAGGATGACCCATCCGGTTAATCAGACTAAAACAAAGGATAAATGGGCAAAACATTTTCCGACTAATACTGTGATAAACGAACTTCTCCAGCTAAAGGAACGTTCGTCTGAACCATTGTACTGCAAACCCTGCCAGACAAAAGGTAACCTGAACAACCCAGCCAGTTTTTGGTGCAAGACGATGAACGAGAACTTTTGTGACACGTGTAAGGTTCACCTTCACGATATCATACATAATGATTGTGATATACTTAATGTCACCGGGAACAACAGCAAACGACAAAATAAAGAAACGTCTGCCCCTCGGTGTTATCAACACGGCGAAAAAATGGTTCGGTATTGTGAGGATCACCAAATTCTGTGCTGCAACGAATGCGTGATCGAAGACCATTGGAGTTGTGTAAAAGTACCAAAGGTGACGGAATATTGTCAGAAGGTAAAAGCAGGATCGCAGCTAGAAGACATGCAGGCGGCGTTAAAGAAAGGAACAGAGAGTATGAACTCATTAGTGAAGGACTTTGATCAACAGCTCCAAACCATGATACAGAACCAGGAAATCGCACTGCAGAGCATCTCCGACCTGCGTGAAAAGGTCGATAAACGACTTGACAAACTCCAGAAGGACATCACCGACGATTTGATTACATTGTTCAAAAAAGAGAGAAGAGACATGGAGGCATCATCACGGCAGTGCGAGCGTCTGATGAACGGAATGAAAAATACCCTGAAATCGTCCATTAAAGCCGTAGAGGAAAACAACAACATTGAGATGATAGTGTTGTATCAGAGAGGACAGGCAGAAGTGGAGTCGTGTAAGAGCCTTGTCACGGAGATAAACAAGTCATTTACATTCGTCAGCATCGAGCATCACATTGTCCTCGAACATGATATCATTGGAGATAACGCGATGGGAAAGATCGTCGTCGGGAAACAAACACGATGCATTCCTGGTTGCCATAGCGATTTAGTAAACCCCATGTCAGAACGACGTGTAAAAGAAATCGGAAAATTTAACATCAAGTCCCCGTCAGATAAACATAATAGCTATGCCCATGGTGTTGTGTATATGCCGAGTGCACATGTAGTAGTGAGTGATTTCTACAACAAAAAGGTTAAGTTATTTACAGACAAAGGACAGTACCTGAACGAGGTGACCGTTCGAGGAAATCCCTGGGATATGTGTCTGGTAAACAACTACACGGTAGCGGTTGCTGTCAGCAGTCCTGGATGTGTTAACCTCATGAAAGTCAAGGCCTCAAAACTATCCCTGACATCTTCAATCAATGTGTTAAATGGTAAAAACTGTTATGGTATAGCAAATATAGACGGGAAGTTGGTCGTGGGTACAGGTGGGGGAGCAGTATACAGTGTGAGACAGGACGGAGCAGCCGGGTTTGTATACAAATATAACAGCACATGCCGGTTCCTCACTCATGATATCAAAAAGGGAGACACACTTGTCAGTGTCAGTAACACCATCCCGGGGGACCTCGCGCTATCTAGACTGTCGGCTGACAAACGTTGTACGGATGTGGCGAAAGTCGGCGTCGTGAGGGAAGCTAGAGGGATAGACGTTGGCAGAGAGGGTAACATCTATGTGTGTGGTGGGGGATCACACAACGTCGTACAGATGTCTGTGGACGGAACACACGTCAGAGAGCTGCTGAAGTCATCAGATGGAATGGACAATCCAACAGCCATAGCTGTTTGTGGTGACACATTTGTAGTAACTAATACTAGTAGTACACACGAGGAGAGGAACTATATCCGTCTCTTTCAGTTACTGTAAAGGGTATGGGAATGGACATCTGTGAAAACTGGTAGTTTTAGTGGTTTGTTTACCCTTATTTTCAAATAAACAATTTTTAAACGGACATTTACAATGATAAGCATAGTGGACAATTAGTAGACAAACATATCAAAAACGATTTTGTGCACTATGCTTTATACAACTATTTTTTTCAATATTAAATATCATTTTTAGTTACACATGCAAACATTGTTATCTAATGTTTGCATATGCTTTGTTGTATTATCAGTATAAATAACAAGTTGCCTATCCAATACAAACATTGGTCTGTTGAAATCATTATAATCGGTGTAGAGTCTATTCTTTAACGGTGTTGGAATAAATGTTCAAATAAAGCAAGCAAACACAGAATTGTTTGTAGTTTAATAAACTAACCAATAAAAAGAGTTTTCAACAGTAAAATCTCGTCAAAACTGATCTTGTTATAGAGAAAAAAACTTATTTAAACTGTTAGATATCGTCCAAATTCATTGTCTGGGTCAGGGAAATGTGTATGTACCGTACAGACAGACACTTAATCTATAAAATTAGTACAAGGTATATGTACCGTTCAGACAGACGATTGACCTCTATAGTCAAAACCTTGTGTATGTGTCGTATAGACAGACGAGCGAACTCTGAGTTCAGTACAAGGATTATGTGTCTCATATACAGACGACCGATCTATATAGTCATTACAAGGTGTATATACAGTACAGATGGACGACTGACCTCTAAAGTAAGTACAAGGTGTACGTACCGTACATACACACTACCAATCCATATAGACAGTGTAAGGTGTACGTATCGTACAGACAGATGACTGACCTATAAAGTAAGTACAAGGTGTATGTGTCGTAATGACAGAGGATCGACCTACAGAGTCAGTACGAGGTGTATGTACCGTACATACAGACGACCAATTTATCTAATTCGTACAAGATGTATGTACCGTACAGACAAACGATCGATCTATATAGCCAGTACAGTGCGTACGTACCTTACATACAGACGACCGACCTCCTTAGTCAGTCGAGGTGTATGTACCGTACATACAGACGTCCTACCTCTGTAGTCAGTGCAATGTGTATGTACCGTACAGACAGACGACCGACCTCCGTAATAAGTGCAAGGTTATGTAACGTACAGACAGACGTCAGACCTCCGTAATCAGTACAAGATATATGTACCGTACAGACAGAAAAGCCACATCTATAGTTAGAACAGTATGTATGTGTATTATAGACAGACGACCAATCTTTATAGTCAGTACATTGTGTATGTACAGAAAAGCAGACGACCGATCTATATATTCATTACAATGCGTATATACCGTACCGACAGACGTCCAACCTCTGTAGTCAGTGCAGGTGTATGCACCGTACAGACATACATCCGACCTCCAAAAGCAATACACGGTGTATGTACCGTACAGTCAGACAACTGGTCTGTATAATCAGTACAAGGTATATGTACCGTGCAGACAGATGACCAACCTCCGTATCCAATGCAAGGACTATGGGGCGTACAGACAGACGACCGATCTATATAATTAGTTACAAGGTGTATCTACCGGTATACATGCATCCGACCTCTACAGTCAGACCAATGTGAATGTACCGTACAGACAGACAATCGATATGTATAATCAGTATAAGGTATATGTACCGTACTGACAGACGATGTCAGAACAAGGTGAATGTGCCGAACAGACAGACGACCGACCTCCGAATTCAGTGCACTTTGAATGTACCGTGCAGACAGATGTCTGCTGTACGTAGTCAGTAACAAGACGTTTGTGTATGTATTGGTTTAGTCTCGCCTAGCACGCATTTCTTAAAAACCTAGTTAAATCAAGCATACATATATGTTTTCACACCTTAAACAGTTTGGTTATAGTCTGTTTCAAAATGATTAAGGAGGTAAAATACCTGTTATAAGTTAGAATTTATGTCTACTTTAATCAGGAAAATATTCCATTATCTTTGTAAAGATAGACAGATGACCGACATGTATAGCAGTACACGGTGAATGTATCGGAAAGACAGACGATCGATATATGTAATCAGTACAATATGTACGTACCGTACATATCGACGACTTCTACATAAAATCAGTAACATATGTATGCACCGTACAGTCATAAATTAGACCTCTGTTGTTAGTACAAGGTGTATGTACCGTACAGTCATAAATCAGACATCTGTTGTTAGTACAAGCTGTATGAACTGTACAGGCAGACGTCCGACCTCCGTAATCAGAACTTGGTGTAGGTACCGTATAATCAGACGACAGACCTCCGTAATCAGTACAAGGCGTATGTACCGTACAGTCAGACGACCGATATATATAGCCAGTACAAGGTGTATGCACCGTATAGACAGACGACCGATTTGTATATTCAGAGTAATGTGTACGTACCGTACAGACAGACGATCAATATATATAATCAGTACAATATGTACGTACCATACATACCGACGATTTATATATATAATCAGTAGCATATGTATATACCGTACAGACAGACGATCGATCATCATACTCAGTACAAGATTAGGAATCGTAGATACTGACGACCGATCGCCGTAGTCAGTAAACATGAGTGTACCTTACAGACATAGTAAGTACAGGGTGTATGTATCGTACATACAGACGTCCGACCTCCGTAATGAGAACTCGGTGTATGTACCGTATAATCAGACGACCGATCTGTATAGCCAGTACAAGGTGTGTGTACCGTATAGACAGACGATCTATATAATCAGTACAATGTGTACGTACCGTACATACCAACGACCTATCTATATAATCAGTAAAATATGTATGTACCGTGCAGACAGACGATCGATCTATATTGTCAGTACAATGTGTACGTAGCTTACAAGCAGACGATCGACATCCGTAATCAGCACAAGATGTATGTACTGTACAGTCAGACGTCATGCATCTGTAGTCAGTACAAGGTGTATATACTGTATAGACAGACGACCGATCTATATAATCAGAGTATTGTGTACGTACCGATCTATGTAATTAAAAAGAATGTGTACGTACCATAGAGACAGACGAAATATCTATAAACACATTACAAAGTGTATGTACCGGACCGACAGACAACCGACATCTGTAGTCAGTAACAAGACGTCCATGTTTGTATTGATTTAGTCTCCTCTAGCACACATTTCTTAAATACCTAGTCTATCCAAGCATACATATCCATTTTCAATTTGGTCAAAGTCTGTTTCCAAATTATTAAAGTGGTAAAACTACCTATTATATTATATACTTTATGTCTAGTTTTATCATGGAAATATTCCATTATCTTGTTAAAGATAGAAAGATGACCGACATGTATAGCGGTTACAAGGTGAATGTATCGTAAAAACAGACGACCGATCTCCGTAGTCAGTACACGGTGTATGTACCGTAATGACAGACGAGCGAACTCTGAGGTCAGTACACGGCGTATGTACCGTACCGACAGACAATCGATATATACTGTATAGTCAGTACAAGATGTATGTACCGTACAGACAGACGACTGACCTATATAGGCAGTCCAATGTGTATGTACCGTAAAGACAGACGACAGATATATACCTTAAACTTGATATTATGTAGCATTGCATGCAAGACTAAACACATGATTCGTTGAGATTTGGATTTCTTTTTATTTAGTATCGACACTAAGGCAGCACTGTCTGTAAACAAACACTATTCTCTTGTTTTGCAATACTCCAGCCTATAAATACAACGCTTAAACTATGGGTACTACCTCTAAAAATGTGATATCCATGATTTTGGCCATTGAAGAAATGTCCAGTGAGGTTGAAGGTAGGCTGCTTTCCCTTTTGAACCGTTCGTACCTGTACTGTTTGTATACAAAAATAAATCAGGGGATTCTTTCCAGTCAACTTCACCAAAACGACACTGACCATTAAACAAATCTAAAAATATTAACCACACATTTTAGTCTTCCCTTATTTCCTGAGTTACCCGAATTAGATAAAATCACTTCTTAATCCCAGTCATGACATCATACAAACGGTAATTAAAGCCCTCGCAGACGGAATGGCTCTTGCATACAAAAAAAAAACATTTTTCCCGCCAATGATTTTTCCTTCAAATCACACAGTTTACCACGAGGGATTCTAACTACCATGCTATCAGTACCAATTGATATAAAGATAAGTATAACACTGTTGTAGGCCAAACTGGTTTTTTTCATCTGCAAGGGGTACACCAAGAACCTTACAAATTTACTGAAATGCTGGTATGAGAAATAAACAGTCATTTGTACTTCTAGATAGTGATCCACTGACTCCATACCAGTTTGATTTGTATTTGTACACTGAAGTTCAGTAGATGTGTTTTCAAACAGAGTACAGGATAAAAAGCACCTCACAGGTAATGTCTTATACTAGAATGACGCAACCGCTATTCTTAAACCCTACAAGTGAAAATCAGATTGCTGAATGGGAGGAAGACGGATGGCTGATTTACTATCCATCTTTTCATACAAGGCACCCTTCAACTATCTTTGCAATACTCTTAAGAATGTTATCAAATGAAGTATAATGAACTGTACAAAATTCATCTGCAACATAATCATCAACGTTAGTCTTACATGGATATGGCAAATGCTGAATCAGACGCATACATCCATCCTTTTTGGGACATTAACCTTCTGGGCAAAGCCTTAAGGCCATTGGAGGTATAACAAATGGACAAGCCATCCTCTCTAACACAACCTATTTCAACACCAGTTTCATGGCCCATTTCCATTTCCATTTCCCTCTATTAATTTTCAAATTATGACACTCAGTTGCACCTGCTCTTTAAATGATTACTCAAATACGTAATGCAAATATGCCCAAATTTACAGCTCGGCTTTCTACTATTCCCAGTGTTGTTGTACTCATAACAATTGGGACCAAATGTATGTAACCATTCTCTGTGTGTTAAATCATGTTTGTTGAACCCTAGTTCCTGCATACATGTACATTAACCATAAGACCTGGTCCACTATACCCGTAACAACACTAGGATTTACTGGGTTTTTTTATCCTGAGCTGAATATCATATTCAAACCATGATAAATCACTCACTCTTTTTCCACCCAAACGCACAAAATGCATATACTTCACAATTTCCTGTGTTTTCTGGGGATTGGCCAATACATAGAAAGCTAGGTATTTCACATGTCCAGATCTGTAATTTTAACCTTTTTCGTTTTCTCCCTCAACACAAGTGCCCAATCATTTGTACATACCTGCTTATCCTCATTATGGGGAACCCCAGGTTTTTTAAGCAGCTCACCCAACTCCAAATATTCACCTTTACTTGCTTTGGCTTTCACTGCCCCATCT